GGGACACCCTTTTCTAATCTGTACAAGGATACCGTAAATGCTGCAGGCATCCTTGAAGGTAGGTGCACTATCCCATTTCATGCTTCAGTAACCTGCTCCCCTGGTGGCTCAGACAGTAAACCCACAGGAAACCCAGGTTTGATCCCTGGGTTGGGAAGATCCCCTGGAGAAGGGAATGGCAACCCACTCCAGTATTCTTGCCTGGAGAATTCCATGGACAGGGGAGCCTGGCGGGCTACAGTCCTTGGGGTCCCAGAAAGTCAGACGAGATTGAGCGACTAACACAAAGCTTGCCCAAAGGCCAGTATAATGGCAGAGTGTGCCTTGGGTTTGGGTTTCTTTGAATTGAAAGTCGCCCTCCCGCTGCTTTTTAAAACTATAAAAGGTTAAATTTCCAACCGAGACATTTTCACATGACTGCCCTTTGGAGGATTTTCCTGTCTGCATAACTTAAAGAAGAATGCTGTAAATATTATACTGAATACAGAGTAACACTGACTTGGAGACCAGACTTACTCCACTTCTCATGTGGGCTAGTAACGCCAACCTGTGAAGAGCTTAGTGCTCTCGTTTTCAAGAAAAGGTGAGTATGGCTTAAGGATTTTAAGTTGAAATACGTGATTTATTCTTGTGAGGGTAAGAAAACATCCTTTTATTGAGTGTTAAAACCCTCAAAATCAAATGGGTCTACGCTCAAGGGATCTTAGAAATCTGGTGGAAAATAAAATTTGAGATGAAGGTGGTTATGGCTAGAAACAGGACGTTTCAGCTAGTTGATAGATGTTAAATAAAATATATTTCTGGAATTTGGTGAGCAGGACTTCAGTAACAAGTGAACTTGGTCTAGAAAAAATTCAAGAGACTGAGGATCAGGTTGGATAGAGAGTTTCAGCCAGAGGGGAGCCATGGAGGAAGGCGGCTGCAGTGTGAGGCCTGAGAAGTCTCTGTGCCGCTTTGAGACGAGTTCACACTTTAAGTGAGCCACCTGAGGAAATGCCTGCGGGGATTTCTAAACTAATTTCCAGAGCTAAAGGTGATGGAATATTTCATTAAAATTAGTCATCCATTTTTTTTGGTCACTTAGAATATTTGAAGACAGAGAAAGCATAATTAAAAACATTCTTCAGATGCTCTGTGTGGGTTATTTGCTTTACCTTGTCGATAAAAAATGGATCTGATTTAACTTTCCTAAGAATTCTTTTAAACTATTAGATTTTTGCCTGTGGAATTAAAAGGGAAATTGTACTTTTCGGAGAAAAATCACTAGAATTATATTTCGCATTGAGGTTAGTAGACTGTAATTACTGAAAAAAGTAGGAGTTAAACTTTCTGTAAAGATTATATTTTCAGGTCCAAATGTTAAATTTTTTTTTTTTTTTAAATATTTTCAACTTCTTGTGCCAGACAGTTTCTGTCGCATCTCACAGCCCCGCTGTTCTGGCAGGAGAGCAGCCATAGGTGTATGTGAGGGAAGGAGCCTGGCTGCTTTCCCGTAAAACTTCATTCACAGACCCTGCAATCCAACCTTCTTATAATTTCATGTGTCATGAAATCTTCTTTTGGCTTTTAAATCATGGTCTCAACAAAAAAATAGATGAGCTGGATGGTCCTTGAGCCATAGTTTGCTGACCCCGAATTAAAGGATTTAAAAAACCATTACATTCTTCTAAGGGCCAGTGATGTGGCTTTCTCAGCTGTCTAGATTGTTTATTTCATGGTAGAGGGGTTTTATTTTGTAATAATGAAGAGATTTCCTTATAAATTTGAAAAATTTTCAGCAGGGATTCTCAAACTGAGCACATCAGAATCAGCTGCAGACTTTGTTAAAATGGTGATTTGCAGGGCTCCTCCCTCCCAAAGTTTCTGATTCAGCAGGTCTATGTGGGGCCCAGGAACTTGGATCTTTAACCTGGAGGCTGATGCTACTGTTCTGGGACCATACTTTGAGAATCACTTATTTAGAATGAGGGTGTGCGACCCTGTGGGAATAACACAGTTGCTGCTTTTCTCAGTGTCCTCAGAGTAGCTATTGACCTCTTTACCTAGAGGGTTTGAGACCTTCGAGTTCTAATGATTAAAAGACCAAAGATAATTGGAACCAAATTTATAACTCCCTATTATAGTATTTTCCTCCATCGATTTCTGAAAGTTTTAAACATATATAAACAAGAGCATGCTTTTCAACAGGTTTAAGGAAAGGAATGTGCCTAGGAGAAATATGAACAAAGAAATATATTGTTTATATATAGTACATTTTCTTAAATAGTATTATACTAATAGTATAATACTACTATACATAGTAAATACATATATAATACTCAGGCATCAGATTTTAAAATAGTATATTGCCAGTCACTTTGGCATTCTGTATTCCTCCCCTATCACATCACCCTTTTCTTCTATTTTAACTGTTTGTACAAGTAATGTCTTCTTTTGCATGCATAGGAACTTTACCTAATTTCAATTGCACACACACACATCTGTTTTGATGAACATAGCTGTGTTCATTCATTTTCACTGCTCTGAAGGTGTCTGTCTCATGAGTGCGCTACAATTTTTCCACTCCCCTGATGATGCCCACTTGGATTGTTTCTAGTATTTTTTATTTTACAAACAATATAGCCTGAAATCTTCTTGAACACATTTCCTAGTAATGTGAGCAACAATATCTGCACCTAGGGAGGGGAATTGATCAGTTACAGGGGCATCTTCAACTTTTCTATGTAAGCATCAACTTGTGATCCAAAGGAAGAATATATCCACATTGACTTGAGCACACTTGATATCACCAGATTTTTTAACTTTTTGCCAGTTTGAAAGGTTTAAAATGTGCTTTTAGTTTGCATTTTCTTGATTACTAATATAGTTCAGAATTTTTCTTAAATTGATGGACCTTTCATGTCTCCTTTGAAATGACTTTTTTTGCCTGTTTTCTTTTAAAGTTCTCCACCTTGTTTTGATAATAAAATTCTGACTAGTTTTGACTCTTTCTTATTATTCTACATAAATTTTAGAATTAGTTTCAATACTATGGGGGAAAAAACCTTTTGGTGGAAAAGTACTAATAGATTAATTTGGAAAAAAATTCCATCTGTATAATACTTAAGTATTCCTAGTCATGAATATATAATATTTCTGCATTTATTTATGTCTTCCTTAATACTTTTCAGTAAAGTTTAAATTTTCCATTAAGATCATCTGTTTCTGTTGTTAGACTTATTATTAAGCATCTTATTTTTACTGTCTTTTTAGTAGTTACATTTTAAAACTATTTGTGGCTGGTATATAAAAATGAAGTTGATTTTTGTTTGCTGATCTTATATTTAAGAATCTTGCTCAATTATTACTATTTCTCATAATTTGTGAAGCCTTTTGGGCTTTCTGCATAAATAGGCATCTTCTGCAGTTAATACCGCCCTCAGTCTGTCTTCTCAATCCATATAACTTCTTTTGCTTACCTACCAACTTGATTTGACTAAAGCTTTTGGTACAATGTTGAACATGCATGCACCTCATTTCTGATTTAAAAAGATCCTTCTTGCATTTGCCGTGACATATGTTTGCTGTTTTGGTAGATGACCTTTATCAGGTTAATGACACTTCTTTATATATATATGCCTATTTTGCCAAGAGTTTTTCTTAAATAAAAAGTATACTTAAAATTTGTCAAATGCAATTTCTGTGTATTTTGAGATAATGTGTGTGTGCTTTTTTGTTAGCATATTGAATTAGATTTTTCTAATGTTAAACCAAATTTCATTCTTGGGATAACTTAGTGTGATTTACATCCTAACCTATGGCTTGGCACTCCATGAACAGAATCACCTGTATTGTGAATGTCCTGCCTCTGATTTATATGTATCTCTCAACAGCTCCCATCTCCATTAAGGTTGCCGTTTTTCTTAGAGGGCTTTTAATTTTATGGTGCCACCTGGTGGCAAGCTTTCAACATTTCTGGTACTCTTCACCTCTTAGGCAACTGCATGCATGGTTTTCTGTTATAACTGTAACCCCTCATTTATTTTTTTTTTTTCTTATAATATTTATTCACTTTACTCCCCATTCCTCCTTTTTCTTGCTCTTAGGAAAATTTTTTTTCAGTATACTCATGCAAATCATTCTCTTTTCCTTCCTTTTCCTTCTCTCCCATTTTGTTACTTTATGGGTACTGTAAATCTACCTGGTTAAGAATGATGAGAACAGTGCTGGTTACTAGGGGAAAATATACAGCAATACATTGTAGCGTGGCATTTCATACAATAAAGTGCCTGCTCTGCTAACCTTCAAAGTCTTTGAAAATACTTAAAATTTTCTGTAAAGTGTTCTTAAATTTCAAATACTACTTAATCACCCTCTAATTAATTCTACCCATTTAACATCAAAATTCACTATAAAGAATAAATTGTAAAACTCCTTTGTTTCATTGTTTCTGTGTTCCTTTATCCAAGTTTGAGAGTTCTACTGTATTTTACTACAAAGGCTCATGCATTAAACTGCTTGGAAACCAAACTAGTCATCCGTAGCATGGTTTCCATGGGAAACAGCCCACCACAGCTGCCCTTTTGATAAATAACCCACTTATAAGATAGAGTTATCAGTAACTGTTTCCAATTGCTTAACCCTCAAGCATAGAAAATATGATAAACAATATTTTCCATTCTCTCTGGTCATAAGACTAAGACTAGTTTGTGTGAAATGGCTGCAACTATGAGAATTCTAGCATCTCTTTTTATTTATTTTTTCTAGCATCTCTTTAAAAAGGAGATTGAAAGTTATTCTTATTTTCACATTGTAGCAATTGTGGAGATTCAAAAGTGATTGAAAAAGAAAAGTTAGAGGTTAAAGATTAGGAAAAAGATTGCTTTGGCAGTTTGGTTACCGAGACGGCTCTACAGAATGCAGGGGACAAAGGTGCTTCTGGCTTCTGTACTATAGCGTTGGCTTCCTTCTGTGTTCTTTTGCTGAAATGCTTTCTAACCTTTCTATGTCTCTCTTAAAAGGTGGGGACCCAAACTGTATGCATTGTTCCAGATGCGTTCTTGCCAAAGCAGTATAAAGCAAATGTAACAGTTAGGAAGAAGGCTCTCTCACTGGGTAAGTACAACAGGTCACAGCTTCCCAGTAGACCTGCCACACCCTCGCCACTTCAGAAATGCTGGCAGGACCCCATAAAACCTGAGTCTGTGCATCCACAGCCCTGAGCCTTTCGTCTAGTGAAATGCCAGTCCAAAGAGTTGACCCAGATCCAGCCCTCCCTGTGCAGCTCCTAATCTCACCCACTCTAGATTCTTTCTCAGGTGTTTGCCTCTCTTTGGCTCTTTGCCAGTCAAGAACGTTGAGGTCAGGCAGAGTTTACTACAGTGAGATTTAAGCTGTAATCTTTGTGAGGTGATTAGACATGCTACCTTAGACTGTTCTCTTACTTTGTGAAAGAACCTTCTTGATGTAGCATATCACTGTGCCAGCTCACACATATGATAACTTGTGTGCTGCTGGTAGGATTTTTTTTCTTCTTATTTGAAAAAATGTTCAGATATACTTAAAAATGAAGTGTCATACCTATATATTAAAAGAATTCCAGAATTGGTTTGTAAACCAGATTAGTACTGTGCATTGATCGTAATTTGGAAATATTTAAAAGTCATTGATCAACGTGAGTACCATAAGAAATTGTTTCAAAGTTATGTTTCAACTCATCCCATTTCTAAATAAAAACTACAGCAGTACAGTTTATCTTATAGATCTTGAATGGTACATTTGAGTCCCCCCAACTTGCTGTTTAAACCTCCCAAAATTCTACACACAAAACTCAGTGTGAATACATTGGAGACAATAAGATGTGGAATAACTGTCTGTTATTTTTTAGATTCTTTTCATGTGACATTAAACAAATGGTGATATATTTTCACTTAGCCTGGATAACTTTTGGAAATGATTTGCTTGTTTGGCCTTGATATTTATTTGTTTTCTAATCCCAAACTCCCAGTACTTCCCTTCCCAACTCTTACTCCCCTTTGGCAATCACAAGTCCGTTCTCTCTGTCTGTGAGTCTGTTTCTGTTTTATAGATTTGTGTCATATTTAGATTTCAGATGTAAGTGACATCATATGGTATTTGTCTTTCTAACCTATTTTGCTTGGTACAATATCTCTAGTTCCATCATGTTGCTACAAATGGCATTATTTCATTCTTTTTAATTACCTTGACTTCTGGATTGCTATGAATTGAGTTTAAGGTCATTCACGAATCTCTGACATCCCCAAAATATTTTCATTGTTTTCAAATCCACTTGAAGGGCTTGTTTTGAAAGGCATGTAGCTGTTTGTGACTCCATAGAATCTAGTTAATCTTATTCCTGATATTTGAGCTAAAATCCTTGGTTAAAACATGTTCTGAGCAATCCATAGATTGCCACAAATAATGCTGTTCTTAGCTATTTATCTTTAAGCCATTTCTTCCAGTGCCTGCATTTATGTAACTCTTTTCCATTTTGGAAAGTAAGAAGTCAAGAGATACCTGGAATAACAGGCAAGTGTGGCCTTGGAGTACAAAATGAAGCAAGGAAAAAGCTAACAGAGTTTTGCCTAGAGAACACACTGGTCATAGCAAACACCATCTTCCAACAACACAAGAGATGACTCTACACATGGACATCACCAGATGTTCAATAATGAAATCAGATTGATTATATTCTTTGCAGAAGAATGGAGAAGCTCTATACAGTCAGCAAAAACAAGACAGAGCTGACTGTGGCTCAGATCATGAATTCCTTATTGCAAAATTCAGACTTAAATTGAAGAAAGTAGGGAAAACCATCAGGCCATTCAGGTATGACCTAAATCAAACCCATCACAGTTATCCAGTGCAAGTGTCAAATAGATTCAAGGGATCAGATCTGATAGGGAGTGCCTGAAGAACTATGGACAGAGGTTCCTAACACTGTACAAGAGGCAGTGATCAAAACCATCCCCAAGAAAAAGAAATGTGAAAAGGCAAAATGGCTGAGGAGGCCTTACACACAGCTGAAAAATAAGAGAAGTGAAAGGCAAAGGAGAAAAGGGAAGATATACCCATTTGAATGCAGAGTACCAAAGAACAGCAAGGAGAGATAAGAAAGCCTTCCTAAGTGAACAATGCAGTTCCTAAGTGAACAATGCAGAGAAATAGAGGAAAACAACAGAATGGGAAAGACTACAGGTCTCTTCAAGAAAATTAGAGATACCAAGGGAACATTTTGTGCAAAGATGGACACAATAAAGGACAGAAGCTATGTGGACCTAACAGAAGCAGAAGATATTAAGAAGAGATACACGGAAGAACTATACAAAAAAGATATTAATGACCCGGATAACCACGATGGTGTGATCACTTGTACCTATAGCCGAAAATCATGGAGTGCAAACTCAATTGGGCTTTAGGAAGCATTACTACAAACAAAGCTAGCAAAGGTGATGGAAATCCAGCTGAGCTATTTCAAATCCTGAAAGATGATGCTGTGAAAGTGCTGCACTCATTGTGCCATCTAATTTGGAAAACTCAGCAGTGGCCACAGGACTGGAAAAGGTCAGTTTTCATTCCAATCCCAAAGAAGGCCAATGCCAAAAAATATTCAAACTACCACACAATTGCAGTCATATCACATGCTAGCAAAATAATGCTCAAATTCTCCAAGCCAGGCTTCAACAGTACATGAATCGAGAACTTCCAGATGTTCAATCTGGGTTTAGAAAAGGCAGAGGAACCCGAGATCAAATTAACAACATTCGTTGGATCATAGAAAAAGCAAACGAATTCCAGAAAAACATCTACTTCTGCTTCATTGACTAAGCTAAAGCCTTTGACTGTGGATCACAACAAACTGGAAAATTCTTAAAGAGATGGGAATACCAGACCACCTTACTTGCCTCCTGCAAAACCTGAATGCAGGTCAAGAAGCAACAGTTAACCGGACATGGAACAATGGACTGGTTCAAAATTGGGAAAGGAGTATGTCAAGGCTGTATATTGTCACCCTGCTTATTTAACTTCTATGCAGAATACATCATGAGAAATGCTGGGCTGGAAGAAGCACAAGCTAGAATCAAGATTGCCGGGAGAAATATCAATAACCTCAGATAAGCAGGTGACACCACCCTTATGTAGAAAGTGAAGAGGAACTAAAGAGCTTCTTAATGAAGGTGAAAGAGGAGAGAGAAAAAGCTGGCTTAAAACTCAACATTAAAAAAACTAAGATCATGGCATCCGGTCCCATCACTTCATGGCAAATAGATGGGGAAACAATGGAAACAGTGAGAGACTTTATTTTCTCAGGTTCCAAAATCACTGGGGATGGTGATTGCAGCCATGAAATTAAAAGATGCTTGCTTTTTGAAAAAAAAAGCTATGACAGACCTAGACAGCATGTTAAAAAGCAGAGACATTACTTTGCTGACAAAGGTCTGTCTAGTCAAAGCTATGGTTTTTCCAGTAGTCATGTATGGATGTTGAGAGTTGGACCATAAAGAAGGCTGAGTGCCAAAGAATTGATGCTTTTGAACTGTGGTGCTGGAGAAGACTCTTGAGGCTCCCTTGGACTGTAAGGAGATCAAACTAGTCAATCCTAAAGGAAATCAACCCTGAATATTCATTGGAAGGACTGATGCTAAAACTGAAGCTTCAATACTTTGACCACCTGATGCAAAAAGCGAACTCATTAGAAAAGACCGTGATGCTGGGAAAGATTGAAGGCAGGAGGAGAAGGGGATGACAGAGGATGAGATGGTTAGATGGCACCACCGAATCAATGGACATGAGTTTGAGCAAGCTCCAGGAGATGGTGAAGGACAAGGAAGCCTGCCATGCTGCAGTCCATGGAGTCGCAAACAGTCTGAGACACGACTGAGCGACTGAACACCACCACCAACAAAATCTTTCCAATTGAAATTTGCCTGATGTTTTGCAATTTTTCCTCATTGATTTTCATGCATCAACATTTTTGCTTTTTAGAGTGAATCCCTTGAGTGAGTTTAACTCTGCTATTGCCATCAGACATAGGAAAAGAAAGTTTCTGCATGACTCACACGAAAAGTCAGATCAAATAACCGACATTTTGAATTGTCCAAAGACAGATTTATTAAAGGATCAAGGGAGTTGGCAATCACCACATCCTTCAGCTTGAAAAGTCACACAGTTGTCTGCCTCAGAAGAACAGCTGGGCCCCTCCTTAGCTGATTTTAGTGTTATTGACCCAAGGAAAAAACAGGGACTTCTGACAGGTTTCTGGTCCTGCGGATTTCTCTGTCAGCATCCACACCCTCTTCTTTGTGATTGAGTGGTTCTGAGGGCTTGTGATGGTGAGGAATTAGAGGTGATATGGACAGCCATGGACCAACGAACTATAGCTGGCAGGTGTCTTCAGGGATAGAACACCTACAGCTTCGGGTGACAGGTTGTGTCTGAGTCACGAATCAGCCCCAGAGGCCTCTGGTGGTCTGGTGCATTCAGACCCACAGACTTCTTGTTCTCAACCTTTAGGCCTTGTCATTTCTCTGAGGTGCTAGGCTGATTTTGGCTTAGGAGGCTGTGTTAGACCTGATCTGATGACCTTTCCTGGACCCCTGGTGGTGGGGGAGGGGGAGTGGCCCGAGGTGGGTAAGACAGAACTGGCGAAAATAAAGTAACTGATCCTTTGGGCACACCTGTCTCACGGGCTGCTCAGCTACTTCTTTTGTGGTTCACATACAAAGGCTTATCAGAGTGTGACATGAAGGGGAGTTTGTTTATACCATGATCTCATATCTGCGTCAAGATTCTGGATCTGAACACTGCAAGATCTATCATGTTAGATTCCTTCTGAGAAATGGAAGTAATTCTAGCAAGACTGGGGTCAGAATGTAGAGTCTGTGGAACCACCTTTGTTTGGTTGCAGTGTGTACATCATTGTGTTTCCTTTGTGGCATTCCATCCCCCTTCATAATTCAGTAGTCAACTCAGTCTTGGCCATGTGTCACTGGAAAGATGTTCAGGGTGGTGCCCTTTTCATCCGTATTATGGTGATATATAAAAGTTTCATTTTCTTCTCTCTTGCCTAATTTTCCTGTTCACTTTCTGTGTCTTCATGCAGGTCCCTGGCATCTGACACATGGCGAGCTTTAGGATAAGGTCATACCAAGACATGCCTGATGATTTGAACGTCTCTCTCCCCCAAAGTCCAGAATCTCAGCTGGAGCCCGAGGGACAAATGTTCCCCCAGTCAGGGCTCTTGTTGATGGTTCTTCCCACACCTCAGTCGACTGTTGGCTTCCCTTTTCTTGCTGTTCTGTCTCTCTCCCCACCCTTCTCGATTGTCTTTCCTAAGGACAGAGCTTAGAGAGCTGGGCCAGGACGGGGGAGCTCTGCACTGCACCCGAAAGTCCTAAGCCAGCATCTTGTCTTCAAGGCTCCATCTTCACAACAGATGCCTGAAGGCATAGGCTTCTGAGAACCCACTTTTTTCTGCATGACTAGCTTGTAAGGAGGGATAAACTGAGAGGATTTCCGAGAACTTTCCATTAAAAAAAAATGTATGTGACATTTTTGGCTTTGAATCAAGAGCAGACTCAGTGGTATACAGCTCTGTTTCCTGGCACACATCTGTGGAATCTGGAACAATTGTTGCAACACTCTCTTTCATTCCTGGCTGTTTGTATAACTGTACATAAATGTAGCAATAAATATATTCTAACATCAGCCTGGGGCACTAGTTTCTGCTTGGTTCTGCACACTGCCGGTAGGCGGTGACTACCACATTCTTGAGGAACTGCCCTACTGCCCAGCGGGCTTGCCTACCCTGTCTCAGCTTCTCGTCTTCTCTGATTTCACAGAGTGTTAGCTTGGAGTTGGCCAGTGTTTGAGAAAGAAGGCTGAGGGGTGTGGTGGCAGAGCTGGGACGTGAAGCCACATTATTAATTCACTAGGTGGCACTATTCCTGACACTGCAGGGTGGCTTGAATGTCTGAGGACTGAAGCTCAGAGGATTGGGTGACAGGTTGCAACAGGAGTCGGCTTTTTCAATAGCCGCTCTTACATTTTTCAAGGATGTATTGTGCTTCAATTATATGACAGGTGCGCACTGGCCACGCCCAAAATCACCTTCTTAAAGACTTTCAGAAAAACGACACAAAATATGCCAGCATGATATTGAATCTGTCCCTGATGTTTTTCAAGGGCACTAAGTCTGGTTGTTTCAGAAACAGTGCCCTTCCAAAGGGGACACATAGGAAACAACTTTTTTGTTATGCCGTTTGTCAACTTTTAAGAAATATCTGTTCCCAGGCTGTTCTCAGTTTATTTGAAGTCTTTGCTTTATCAGGCATTTTTTATAACTTGAAAGATAACCACATACTTTGTGTGGTTTCTTATCACACTGTGGTTTCCCAGGATGCTCCTTGATTACAAGCGGCAGGTGGTGTAGCAGCATTCGGCCTTAAGGCCTGGGGGTGCGGTGGAGCCCGAAGCTGGGATCCTGTGGCCAGCGTTCTCAGGCAGCACTTGAGAGACTGCTGTTATGTGTTAAAACAATGCAGACAGAAACACTTGAGGAAATCACCTGGTTGGGGCCTTTGAACCACTGATCAGGTAACAATCCAAACAGTCATGCCAGGTATGTCCTTACTTTCACCTTTTAATAGGTCCATTGCAGACCCCGAGGCTTCAGGCCAGCAGGGAAGGAGGCACAGCGCAGGCTGCTGCTCCCACAGCAAATTCCCACGTGCTGCCATCAGACAGATCCTTCCACACAGAGATCGGTCTGGCTGTGACTGCTGATACAGGGGGAAATACCAGAAAAGAGACAGGATGAATGATCAGTCGCCTCTGAAACAGTGTGCTAAGAGAGAAACACAATTATAGATAATGCCATCTAACCAGCTGCTCACAAGCTTGTCCATGGAGATGGGGAAGGTTGCAGATTTTCGGCCTGTGGGTGTCAAACCTAGGCACGGGTCATGGTGAAGACCCTGGACGGGTGCCTACAGTGCCCTGGGCCTCGGATGTGTCTGCCAGAAAATGAGACATTTGGACGAAATGTCTAAGACCCTCTCTGTTCTTTGGGTTAGGGAGGGAGTTAGCCTCCTTTGATCACGGGGGAGGCACAGATGGGCAGCTGGGAGTTGAGAGTCTGAAGCTCACTCATTGTCAGGTTATGAGACATGCATGAAGATAACAAGCTAAAGCACCGCCTTTGTCAAACCCCTTCTGAGGAAACAACATAGTCAGCTCCCACTTCCTGTGGGAAAGGAAACTGGCCGGACCTCACTGTGAGCTCTCTTCTGCAGGGGCAGAGGGGCTGCGGTCTACACTGCGCCCTGGGACTGACGGGTGGGGAGTTGAAGCCTCAGCACAAGCCCCTTTTCTTCAGGAACTGCCCACACCAACAGAGGGGGTGATGGCCCTTGTGAACTGCTGGACTTCAGTCCTGGTCAAGCCAAGCTGTCAGGGGCATAGCACCCAAAGGGAGCAACGCCGATCACTCCCAGTCACTTAGGAATGCACCGGCGGGCAGCGTGACCTTCGCCCAGCACAGACACAGCTGTCTCCAGCACGGCCTCTGCCCCCTTGGCCTCTGTGGGCCCCCTCCTTCCTTTCCACGCAGGTGGGGCAGGTCGCTTGAGTGGTGAGTTTGCAGAGGGTTGGTGTCCCCACCCCTGTTCTCTGTCCCAGGAAGCACACCTCATCTTGGCTCCTCCATGCCCTCGTTCCAATGAGGCAGGCCCGGGCTCCCGCACGAGACGGGTGTCTGTCAAATTTAGGATTCAGTATTAGAATCTGCCTGCAATGCAGGAGGCCTGGATTCAATCTGGATTCTGGGGTGGAGAAGATCCCCACTCCAGTATTCTTGCCTGGAGAATTCCATAGACAGAGGAGCCTGGCGGGCTATAGTCCATGAGGTCGCAGAGTCGGACATGACTGAGCCACTGACACACACATTAGGGAGCCCAGTTGCCTTAGGCACAAGCCCAGATTCTCTACCACTAGATTCTCTAGCACTCCATCAGTGATGGAGGTGATCTTGTGAGTTTCACCTGCTTACTATTTTGCTTTAATTCTCAGTTTCACTTAGTGGTTTTACTTTCAACTTGATGAGCATCAGTATCATCTAGAGGGTTTGTGAAACCATAGATATCCCCCACCCTACCCCACCCGCCAAGAGTGTCTGATTCTTGGGTCAGGGGTGGGGCCCAGGACTGGGGACCACACAGGCCCCGGGGGCCCTGAACAGAGAGGAGTTCTGTTTACTGGTTTTGTCAAACTCCGGAACCAAATGTTCTGGAGGCTGTCTGAGTCAGCTGGGTGCCCTTCACTCAGCTGGGGCCAGAAAACATTCTTGGTCTGTATGAGTGATTCTCGCAGATCAGTGTCCTCTTCGAGCACACAGCCTTGGGCAGGAACAAATAGTTGTAGATTATGCTCATTTCTGTTCTGAGTAAAACATGAGAGGAATCAATTCCAGCCATAAAGCAGCCTGAAGAACTGATTTAAAAACAGAATCCAAGACATGTATGGTTCTCCTTTGATAAAAGGAGGGAAAAAAAGTTGCTGCTGTGCCCGCCACCCCAGCATCACACCATCTCCCACAGGACTGAGCGGCTGTCTGTTTCCGGGGCCAGAGAGAGGCTGGACCCCCCACTTCCTTGGCCTCGGTTCCCTCCACCCAGCTCTCCTTGCTGTTGGGTCTCTGCTTTGCCCCAGGCCCTTGGCAGAGTATTACTGCGAACGACAAGGTTTTGTTTTACAACCTGAAAGAGCCCATGCCTCTCAAAACCATTTATTTTCCCCTGGGATGATACAGTTAGCCCCCGAAATGTCGGATCGATCAGAGGGGAAGGTTGTGCGGGCAGAGCCTGTGGTGCTTGCAGGGGGAGGCGGTGCACTGTGAGCCCACGCAGAGAGGGGCGATTGTGCTTGTGCCTCCCATTCAGCAAAGAAGGCTCAGGAAGGCAGTCTGGGGACACGGCTACCTGTTTCACAGGACCCACAGACCTGCAAGGTGGGCCGCCAGTTCGGAGCCACGCCCCGCCCCGCCTCCCCGAGCTCAGGCCACTGGAGCTGGTCGATCCTGGAGTGGCTGTGCATCTTAACCAGAGAACGAGGGCCTGTGACCGGATTCAGAGGTTCCCCGCACCTCCGCTTTAACCACTTGGCATTTCCCACGCCCAAACTGGGAAGCGGATTCAAAAGGCTGTAAACTGTTAGAAAGATGGAGGAGGATCTCTGGAAGCCTGTGGCTGCCTTCTTCCCCGCGGCCACCTGACGGTCTCAGCCGCAGGCGGACTCTGGCTGGGGCGCGGGAAGGGGCAGAGCTGAGGAAGCTCCCCCGCGGGGAGACTCAGAAGCAGGAAGAAAGGCTGCGGGGTGCAAAGCTCTGCGCCCTGATGGGGAGGAACCTGGCCCTGGAGGCCTGGTCGCCGAGAGGCCGCCGGGCAGCGGCCTCCTCGGGGCCCCCTCGGGCCCTCCTGCAGCTCCCCACCTCCCGAGCTCCGCTCAGCCGCCGCGGAGCGTGGACTGGGACCTTCCCTTCCCCCCGCTCGCCTCCCAGCCTCATAATTTGCAGCATTTTACCCTGCGCCGCCTTCACAATTGCGAGAGGCGCCTCGTCCTGAATTTGTTAATCTGGAAACAGACACGGCAAACCGATACATCTCCTCTGGAGTTTACTCAATAGCGTTTCGTGTAGTCATAAATTGTACTTGCCGTCTCCCTTAATCTTTTCGCAAGCTTGTTTGAAATAATTATTCAAGTGAATGAGGATTACATCTTTAGAGGGTGGAGGGGGAGAGGAGAGCTTTGAAGGCTGAGGTGGTGACGAGGCCCGCGGCCTGGACCCCGCTGTTCGGGTGCCCGCGGCCCGAGGGCGGAGCCGCCCCGCGCTCCCAGCCGGGCCGCTCGACCCGAGGCCGCGGGGTGGGTGGGGCGGAAGCCCATCGCAACGTTTTCTTCACCTTTCAGCGCCGTATTCTGCCCCTCATCCGGCTCTCCTGGGAATTTGTTCGAAAACGAATCTAACTTTTCTATTTCTAATCTCATGCTGAATTTGTGCAAATGGAAAACGCAAATGGCAGAAAGCATGGAAGATGCCGATGGCAGCTGCCTCACACAGAAGCTGCTGTGTGCTCAGAAGGCCTTGTCAGGAATCTGAAAGCTAAATGGGGCTTTGAAAAAGACACCTGAGGGCGACTCTGTGCCGACGGAAACGTTAGAAATGAGTGTACTGCCTTTTCCTCTCGAGGCCCACAAAGAGAGCCAAGGAGTGGAGACGGGGGTCCAGACCGTAAAAACCACCTCCATCCATCACAGAACCGTTTTGCTCGTCAGAGAGGCTGTGGCCTGCGCCCTGGGCCTAGCAGCTGGGCCAGGGCCAGTCCTCACAGGCCTCCCGACCCGCAGCTCTCTGGGAAAACTTCCCTCCCACACAAGAGACAGGCTCCTCATGACCCCACACGAAGCAGCGTGGACGGTGTGGGTCTAGTGAAGTTCTGGTGCAGTTTTCCAGGTCTTGCCCTGTCCCCAGGTAAGTCAGCATGTCTAAGAATGTACAGCGGCTACACGA